CTGAAGAACCTTATAGGTTTTTTTTTTTTTTTTACTATTTTTTTAAAAGTCTAAAGAACCTCCACATCATTTTATTTTTTTTTCCCAAATAACTTCCAAGCCAAGAACCATTTAATAATCTTTATTTGTAAAAACCTCATATTTTTATACTTTGACTTAGTTACATATTCATGTCAAGTCTTTGGTTATTTAGCCTGTCATGGCACTGAATTACAAAGCTTCTGCCTTTGATGTCCTTTTGTAAAACTAGATTTATCCTCGTTTTTAAATTTAACCTACAAAAGCCTTTAGGCTAAAACAATGTACGTTTTGGGGATTTGGCAACCCCTTTTGTGGAAATGTGTTGGACCCCTTCCCCAAGTGGATGAATCTGATGATTGTGAGTGTGTTGAAAGAGCATTCAAAGAGAACTGGTGAAAAACATGTCTTCCGAGGACGTGAGTGAATAATCTGCTACTGTCATCATATTTTCATCAGTGTAATGCTGATCTTGCATTTGAGTCCTAAACACTGAGCTGGAAATCCGACCTAACAAAAGTCCAACAAAATCCAGCCCGATGCCTCTGACCTTTAAATTATTATTTCAGGCTTTACAGGGTGACACGCAGAAGCAAATGCACACATATTTTATTTTTACTTTTTTTTCTCCTGACCTCTTCCTATTAAATGAAAACTTACATAGAACAACTTTAAGTGTTAACTGTTTTTCACAGTAGCCTTGAAATGTGTTTGCGTCTGTTTTAGAGGTTCCTCAGTTAAACTATGCAATTTGTTGTACTTCAATAACATTATTGGAAAAATATGTCAATGAAGGTGTGTATAATTTATAAAGCCAGCAAGCAAATCAACATTTATAAAGTATTTTCATGGTGTTTAAATGTTATTTTTTTACATTTTTCCCATGTATAAATACGTTTTTGATATCAAGTAAGCTTTAGATAAGCTGTCAGTTTTATCACCCCCTCCTCTTTCACACCTCATTGCTTACTAGCAGCTCAACCTGGAAGAGATAAACGTGTTCTAGTTAATCTGATAATAGAGATTTAATTTGATTATATTAATTAAAAATATCGGATTTGATTTCCATTGCACCTGGCGATTTGGCCACTGCAAAAAGAGATGCAACAGTGGAAGCTATATGTCACAGAAGAACTCTTGGTTTTAAGAGGTTCAACATAATGCAATGGTTCTACACCACAATTAAAAGTTTCTCATAGAACCAGACAAATTTCGAATCATTTAGGAATGTTTATATTTAGGACTGTAATGTAAATGAAACCTAAGCAATTAAGCAATGTTGATACCTCTTGTTAACAGCATAAAATGACAAAATTGCAAAATTAAATGCAAAAAACAAAATAACTAAAATAAAATATGAAAAATGTTAACCCGAAAATATACTCTTTTTGTTGATCTACCTTAAGAACACACAAGCACAGTAATGGAGGCTGCGGAGACCTGCTTTTTGATGAAGACAGCTGAAGATTGGAAAGTTGCAGTGGATGGTGGATGTGCACCGAGGCACAGAGGACACTGGGAACACAAGCTAAGTGCTGTGGAGCTTTGTGACGGTGATGCGATGGGATGGGTTCAGTGAGGCGGAGAGTGGAGGAGTGCAGAGCGAGGTGGCTTTTGGGACAATGGGCCTGCTCTTCTCGAATAAAACATGAAGGCCTCATCACAGGGTTCTGGCCTCACTGTATGGCCTTTGTGTGTTGGAGATTCAGCACCAGTAACAAGGAGACAACAGGAAATGAAAGTTCATCCAACAACGTACAGGGAATGTTGTAAACACTTTGGCTGCTGTATCCATGATGGAGGCCACAGCTTGAATGACGGTGCTGCTTTGGTAAACCTTGAATAACACTTAACTCAAATGAGCACTTTTATTATTCAAAAGAGCTGTAATTGGCTGGCTTGTCATAACCTTTCACTCTAAAAAGTTAAGACTAATGAAATTTGAAGACAATTAGAAACATTACAGATTACAGTGAACATTATTCTAAGTGAACATATTCTGAGTAACAAAAAGATTATAAATCCATTCAAAAAATGAAAAATAATGAACATAAAGATTATAAATAAACGAAAATTTTTCTCTGACCCATTCTGGCTAGTGTCAGATTATGTAATATGAACGCTATAACACGCTTTCCTTCCCTCTCTGCCAGGCTGCCTCCACTCACCCAATCACTGCACATGTCATTTTTCAAGAACTTGGCACTGATAATGCTATCTATAACCTCATGATTATCTTTGGCTTTGGGTTCTGTGCTTTTTTTAAACCTTATACATACATTAAAGAATCTGAAGCATGCAAGTTTATTTAATTTACACACATAAAAACTCATATAAACCTATACAAATTTGTAATTGAATTATGTAAATTAAAACTGTATTTTCACATTTTATTACTACATTTTTTATTACAGATATGCACAAGCCACCAATCTAATTAAGATGTTTCCAAGAAACTGAGTTCCCTTAAAAACATGTGGTCATAAATAGTAGCCTCAGTGGCCCCTCATGCACAATAAAACTTGACAAAATGAATCTGCCTGCATTTAGCTAGAATGCATAAAAACAGCATTAGGTCAATTACTATAGTGAGACAAATGTCCTGAAAAGGTCTGACCCTCAGAGAAAAACTTCACTTTGATTGTGTTTCCACACAATGTCAGGAAACAGTGTGCCCTTTAATGCACAATAACCCTGACCAAACCGAAATAAGCCACATCTACAAGTGAAACATGGCGGAACTACCAAAACAATCATGCACTTTTGTACATCACCCATACTGTACCACATACAGGGGTGGAAATACTTGAGCAATTGTTCTTCATTACTATACTTAACGGGCCCGGGTTTACTTATACTGGCTGTTTGGTTTTATGTCATAATTCATTTTTACATTACCATTTCTAACCTATGTTTATCCCTTAGAATTAAACAGGCTGTTCCTTTAAGATGTGATATATGTAAATAACCTCCAATAGCAGCGCTGTATTGTTACTCATTCAAAAAGCATTCAGGGCTGAAACTCTCTTTATAACTTCAATGTGAACAGGTGACTAACTACTGTAGTCTTGAATAGCTGGATATAAGTAGATGCATTGGTTTTCATGACATGAGAAAAACAATTAATTCAAAACTAATTTTGCAGTTCAGTTTCTATATATGGACTATATGCTATATACATGCAAAATCTTTTATTTTAAAAAATGAGGAACATTGCCCAGTTTTCCATGATATGGGCCCTTTGAGTATTATTCGAGAGAATTTACATGCTACTTGAGTATTATTCAAATTGAATATTTGTATGTTTATTCATTTATATTTCAAAGGGAAAATCATACTGTTTACTAATAAGAAAAATAAAAAAGAGATATCATTAATATCTCTGTAGTTACTTCACCTCATTAATGAGATCAGACAGAAAGGCAAAGGAGACTCTGCTTAAAGGGGAATTCCACAAAATTTTCATAGTTTCTGTATAATTTCATTGTTTAAGATCACGCTCATTGAGAGTGGTCTAATGTAAGATGGTGTAAAGTAGAACAACATACTGACCAGGTCATCTACCCTGCATTTTATTTACTATATATCTATATCACTGCTGTTGGAACAAAATCTCCTATCTCCAAAATGGTGACGTTACAGGAGAATGAAAAAACCTACTTTACTTTTCATGTCAGTCAAAGGAACCAGACTTTTTTCCAAGTAGTTTTCGGGCTGGTTCTGTTGGTCCATTAACCATTTATAAACAATGTAAAGGGCAAGTACCTTTTTCACATTATGTCAAAAACTGAAAAACAACAAAAATGGAGATACGAGGTTTTGCTCTGACAGCAGAGACATACAGTTTTAATGCACTGCTGATGATGGTAAAATAGTAATAAGTGTGAAATTGTTTTCTTTTGCAATTATTTTGCCTGCTTCGCCATTAATGGATTTTATATAAAAAAAACTTTAATGCCAAAGTCCTATCTCAAAAATACTGTAAAGCAAAGTCTCAAGCATCAGGCAACATATTCATAACCATTTTGTGTAACAGCTTTTCGTGAGGTAAAGGCTTCAGATGTCTGGTTCCTATCACCACCACTGTAAGCAATTCTCGTTATCAACTTTCCCTAGAACTGAGCATTTCGTAATTCATCTGAATGACTTTGGCTGGAATTCCCCCCTAAATCTCTTCTGCTACTCAGATATTTTTCCAGAGCAAAAAGATCTCATGTTTCCTCTTCTGTTTTAGTAAAAATCTCAGAAAAAGTCACAAATTGTGCTCATATCTGCAACTGAACGACAGGAATCTCAATATGAACTCTGCCATTTCTCACCCCAGACTAAGAGCCTCCTTAGTTTTCGATGCTGTAACTATTCTATTTTTTATCTGGGCCAGACGTATCTCATGTCTTCTTTCTGTTTAAGGCTGTTTCTCCTAAGGAACTTTAGGAGAATCACCATTAAATCTCCTGAGCTACAAAGATCAACAATGAGCAATGAAACCTTCCTCTGGAAATGTATATCACTGTAAAATGATACTGTTTACAACTATTCTGATATGTCTGTTTGCCAAACAAAAAACACTTATAGTTTGTTAAGTCATTTTCTTTCAACTTGTTTAAAGATCAATAGCTTTTTAGTATATCTTGGCTCCTTACTTCCACTTTTAATTGAGTGAGATTTTGACAAAGTGCTCCTACTTTCACTTCAGTAAAGTTCCTCTGTACACCACATTCACAGAGCTAAACGTATGCAAATGCTAAAAGAAAACGATTCCACCATTAAAGGTTATCAGTCCTAATGAAAAAGTCATTAATCACGCCTTTTCTTCGATCCACAGTGGAGAGAATTTGTTTTATTATGTGTTGTGTACGCTGACCCCTCACATCACAACGGCCAATCAAATTGGAACGTCAACTTGGACGCTGCGCTCTGATTGGTGGGTGGTATTCTGAAGCGATGACGCGCAGTTGAAGGGGGCGTGGCTTTCCCACCAGCTGCAGCCTTTCTCGGCCCTGATTGCCACTTTGAACCCTTACTTGATGACCTAATTGGCGGGCAGGGCAGTGATGGCACAGCTTTCCCTTTATCTTCTCTTTCTCTATTAGGCCAGAAGTTTAAAACAGAGTAGATGTGAGCAGAAGTAGGAACGCCACCTCTTCCACCGTCTCATCCCCACAGTGCACTTTTCCCTCCCCACCCCACCTCACCCACCAGCACCCTCCACCACCATCTCACCTCAGTTCTTGTCCTTCTACCTTCACCTGCTACTTTTCCAGGGCTTCGTTCGTTGTGGATCTGGCACTTCCCACCTTCACCCGGGCACAAAGCTCCCAGCAGTCCGCCGCGAACCGCAGGAGACATCCAGACGCACTTTTTTTGGACTTCAGCGGGAAGCAGGAAAGTTTGTCTTGCTCTTTTTTTTCTTGGCTGTCTCGGGTTTTACCTTCACGATGAGTGTCAAGTCTGACTCGGAGCCAAATAACAACGTCTCCCTTGAAGAGGAGGTGAGTTGACGCAGGTTAAAGAGAAGAAGGAGAGCAGCGTTCAGGACAGTTTGGCTTTTCTGGCTAACTGTCTAAACAGTGCAGCAGCTTGAGCAGTTTACTCTTGCTTCATACTGTCTCCACTGCTTCCACTGTTTGTGCAGCTTTGCTGTGGTTCTTGTAGTGACTGTAACTGAGGAACTAATATATTTTGCTAGTGTAGATGACAATACTACGTTATTTAAACCTTAAAGCAGTTTGAGCTGAATTAGAGCTGATGTTCTGGACTGAGAACCTCTAAACAGAGGAATCAGTTTTGCCTTTTATGGTGGAAATGAGCGCATAAATGAGAATAAGATATCTAAATATCTTACCTTTTCACTTTAGGAGTGTAAATGTTTATTTCCTAGGTGTTGGGTTGTTTTATTAAACCCACCCCCTTTTTAAATAACGTTTTCTGTTAAAAAAAAACTGGTTATTTAAGCAGTATGCATTCCTAATACAGCTTAAACTGTAGCAGTTTTATGTACTGTAGTAATAAAGGTCTGAGCTGCAGTTGGATTGTAGTATAGATATAATGGAAAACAGTAACTAATTAACTAAAACTAATTTAATTGGCTCGATGTTTGTATTTGAATCCCTTAATCAATTCTTTAAATTAGCATTTTCATTTTCCTTTCTGGGTTGATTGAACCTGGAGAGGAAAATCCTTCATTTTAAAACTGGTGTATAATAACAGACCTGTCCATCTATGTAGCTATCCATAGTTGTGGTCATTATCAGAACCTTATAACATTGTCTGTTTGTCAAATTGATCATTTTTGTGGCTCATTTGATTGTCAGCTGCCCTTTACATTGTTTAAGCATTTCCTGCTAAATGGACTAATGGTCCAAAATTGTTTGGGAACAATGTAGTGTTTTTCCCTCTCCTGTGATCTTACAATTTCTGTGATCATGAGGTTTTGTTTCAACAGTGACAAAATACTTTAGTAACCAATGGCTCAGGAGCCAACTATCCTGGTACTTTCCAAAACTGGACGAACCTATTTGACACATTGCTTCACCGTTACTACAAGATTGAATAGGACTTCTTTCCACTGTGCTTCAACTCTTTGGTATTAAGCCTACGCCTAGATTAAAGAATTTCCAATGAACACTGCAGTTTAATGCACAGTTAGGCTTAATTTGTATCTGTGAAGCCAGCACTTAATGTGTTAAAAGAATTGCAAATATGTCAGAATAGGTGGTAAAGCCCAGGAGAGGTGGAGCGGCGGTCCAGTGCTGGAGAATGGCTGCGCTCTGTGGGACGGAGGAAGGAAATGCTGTCATGCTGTGCGCTGTTGTCCATCGCTGTTCCACTCGCAGTCCATTGTAGCTCGGAGCCTCCCACTGAGCTCAAACAAGTGGATGTTTTGCACTTTTGTTTATTTCTGTAACCAGTTGAACAAATCGGCCTGTATTAACTACAGATTTGTCGTATGAAATGACAGTAAAGTAGGTCTTTATTTCTTGCGGTTGAATGTTTATGCCTCTGAATGAGGTGGACTACTTCTTAGCTTGGTGTACTGAATAATTATTTTTATTTTTTTTTCCCCCCCTACTACTTCATGATTTTTATGAAAAGCAGTGGTTGAAATTGCTTTCTAGGTAACAAAGTTTAACAGAGGCCACAGAAGTAAATTGTCCCTTTTATGCATGCTGGCCACGATCACTAGTTACAATAGTTTTTAGGGTGGTGTCCATGGAATGTGCTTCTGTAATTCCGATTGCCTGCTGGGGTCCTTTAAACATGTCCGTATAGTGCTATACAGTAGTACAATTAACCCTTTAATGCTTTTTAAGCTTACAGTGCAGTTTGGGATTGTGTACTATATTCTGTGGATGTTCATACTTTCATTTTTGCATATGAACCAGGTCTATAAACTGTGGGCTGTGTTTTGTGTGCAGGTTAAGCCAGACACTTGTTTAAATTGGTGACTCCTCCAGAATTTGGATAGATGTTGCATATTGTGCAACAGGACTTGCATCCAGAAGGCTGTTCTGATTCTTTGACCATTAAAGTGGAAATTAATTTCTTCTCTTCTTCTTCTTCTTCTTCTTCTTCTTCTTCTTCTTTAAACCTCCTAGGTACGGACCCTGTTTGTCAGTGGCCTGCCAACAGATATTAAGCCCCGGGAGCTGTATCTGTTGTTTAGACCGTTTAAGGTAAGAAAAGATTGTAGGGAAATCATTCTGCTTGTTCACGGTCATCCCATAACTAATCTTTCTACTTGCAGCTGTTTTCTGTCTTTGGCTATTTAGTTATGTTTATAAATATACTAAGAAAGACTTCTCAGGCATTGTAAAATCGGAATGCATGAGTCATTTAATTGCTTAACTCTGTCAAGTACATCCACGTTTGTCATGAACCCTAAAGTTAATTTCCCACAGCATGGAAACTAATTTCTTGTGCCTGTTCTGTTTACATATGGCAAAATAAACCTTGAAGCCTAATTTGGGGCAATGTTTGATCACTGTTGCTTAATTCGAGGGATTACCATCCTTAAAACATCTTAAATTGGTATCTTCTACCTTGGAGCACCCTGGCTAACTGACTTTTTGGAGCTTTGTCAGATTGGGTTGGCTTCTTATGGGGAATGTCAGGATTTTTTTTTTTCTTCTACAGGCATGTGACTTCATGGCTCCTAATTGGATTTCTTTTCATTTTCAGGGTTATGAAGGTTCACTGATTAAGTTAACATCAAAGCAGGTGAGATGGTGGTAGATATCACAGCTGACTGGTGCTGGAGTATGTGTTTGTAGTACAGTGTTTGGTCATTGTTGCTGTGGGGTTTATTTATTTATTTTTTTTAATTTTTTCATTCTTTTGTTCCTTTGCTTAACTTGGTGCATGTTTAAGTTGAATATAAAATATGGTCAATTGTTTTAAAACGCCTGCATTCAGGATTTTATGTTGGATGTAGTATTCTAATGTTGATTGTGCCTCTAGCCTCAAAGTAAATGCATGAAGCTAAACTTTGCTTTTCACTATTCCTTTTCCAGCCGGTTGGTTTTGTGACCTTTGACAGTCGGTCTGGCGCTGAAGCAGCGAAAAATGCATTAAACGTAAGCACCTAGCCATCTGTAAGCAATGGCTTGAATTATTGATGATCTGTCAGATGTGATCCCTGCTGCGAATCATATGTTGTGGTTTTCTTGTACATTAATGTATAAATATTAGTTAAATCAGTTATGTATGGTTTTGTTACTGGAACCCTTCCCACTTTGTTATAGAGCAGATTTATTTAGCAGATTTAGAACTTCTTTACTATGCGTGTACATTACGGTCAAAGAGCACACCTAGTTTCATGAAGATGTAGCTTGGCGGGTACAGAATGGTTGAACACTTTAGCTGGTAATTCTGTGTTACATTGTTCAGCCTGTTCACTGGCTGTTGCAGCGATATGCGTCTTGGCCCAACTGTAATAATGAGCACCCATTTTGCTGTGGACTAACAATAGTATAATTTCTCAACCCTAGTATATAGAATCTGACAAGGGTGTAACGATTTTGATGCAGTATTGACTAAGCTTATTTGAGGTGGCATCAAATTAAAGACTAAGCCTGTCTTTCATTTAACCTTTTTTTTGGAAATCAGTCAGTTTGGAATGGGCAATATGACTTTCTTATTGTGATAAATGTGGTGTAATGTGACTTAATTCGTTTTTCTGAGCATATCAGTTATTGACCAGTTATGTTTTGTTACAAAGCCTATAATTGGTCTTGTTTTATTGTATTAGCTGTTCAACATTTCTAAAAAGTGAATGTTGAATTAAAACTCCCTGTTCAAACGTGTCAAACCTCAAAAACTGAAATGGTAGATATTGAGATGCATATCATATATTGAAGATGTCTAGAAGTGTCAGACTTTTTCCATATTGCCCATCCCTACTGTCTTTGATCAAAATCTGGGTGCATCCTATTAAGAGGAAGTAGGTGGGGGGAATGGTTAGGATGCATGTACCCATGTTAATGATGAATGCAAAGGGTTGCAGTTTTTGGGTCTTACTTGAATTTTGATTTAAATATTTAAGTCAATCAAATCATTAATTTATACTTAAATTAATAGTTAGTGTCGCTACACCCCTAGTATCTGATAGTACTGTATTTAGACCACTGCTAGCTTTTCTGTGAAGTCACATAGACGCATTCACCTGCATGTGGGCACCAGCTTAGTGCACACTATTGCACATTCTACCAGAGTCTATCAGGCACAGCCCACTCCTATTACTGTATCCCCCACCTTGTGTCTCCAGGGGGTTCGATTTGACCCTGAAAACCCGCAGACCCTCCGGTTAGAGTTTGCTAAAGCCAACACGAAGATGGCAAAGAGTAAGCTGATGGGCACTCCGAACCCCACAAATATCCACCCAGCTCTAGGAGCACACTTCATAGCACGGGACCCATGTAAGTGTACGGCCACACGGTAGCCTTCACTCTGCAGAGATAGACACACATTCTTTAGGCATGTGTAGGACTGTCGCCAATAGCTAAAGAACAAACTAATTCACTTCCACCACATGCATGCATCATTAGAGCAAATGGCTTCTTCAGTTCAGCAGTCTACTACACACATTCAAATTCAGCATTTCCACTAAACACCACATTCAGCTTTTTCTGCTGTTCTGAGCCAAACTGCAGACATGAGCATCAACTTATTGCCTAGAATAACGATACTTCTCACTTTATTCTTTCTTTACTTTTGCCTAACTAACTCACTACTGTAATTTGGGGTTTGATCCAAGCTGTAAGTCCAGTTCAATAGGGCTGTGTGTGCATCTGTGTGGGTTGCTGTGCTTCATTAGATGACCTGACGGGGGCAGCACTGATCCCTGCATCTCCAGAGACCTGGTCTCCATACCCCCTCTACATGGCAGAGCTGAGCCCCAGTCTGCCCCACACTGCCTTCACCTACCCTGCAGCAGCGGCTGCCGCGGCTGCTCTCCACGCTCAGGTGAGCTCCACGCAATAAGAGAAAAGGCCTGGGTCAGGTCTGTATGTTTGCTATCTGCTGAATTTATCTTATATAAAATGTTGATTACAGTTCAGAATTATTAAAAAAAAATGTAACCAGACAAATATTTATGAGGGCTTGACTGATATGAAAAGTTAGTGGTTTAAAAAGAAATGCTGCCACTTTTCACTTAGATGTCCAGAAAAGACTACAGCTTTTCTAAGTGCTCGAACAGCTCTGCATGAAAGAAAAACATGATCTCTTGCCGAATGGCTCAGTTGGAAAAATATGTTTTTATTATATCTTTAAATTTTATTTTCTTTGCAGGAAATTGTCACTGCATCAGGCTATTTTAATGCCCTGTCTGATGGCAGGTTTTTTTCCCCCCCATTTTGCTGCTTCCAGTTTGTGCAGGAACTTGCAATATCAGTTTTCTTAAAAATATGGTAATTACTGGCAGATACAGATGAAACCCCTGATTTCCAATATGAACTGATATAATTGGGCAACTTGCCTGTGGTTTTTTGTCCAAAAATGACCATGCGTTATCAAATTGATTCCAACTTTCCCAAATCAGTGGAGCTGAATCACTATATTCAAATGGATGCAGGGCAATGCACCAGTGTTTTTACACCCCTACTTATCAAGTGTTTTGAGTCCAAACATTAAACATTCAGGCTTACTGCTCGCAAGGAAAAGAGAATTAAATCCAGATTGGGGTACCCAGGTTTGTTTTTATTGGTAACAGAAGTAGAATACTGTAAGTTGAAGTCTATATCAGGGCTTTTGTCTTCAGTCCTGAGGACCCATTGTCCTGCACAATTGGAATAATTTTACACAAAACTGTTCAAAACAGTGGATCTTGGCACCGGAATGGAAAAGCCCTGCTCTATCCTGTATTCAGTTTGAATCTGCTTTTGTTGCTATGCAGTGGTCTGACCTCATTCGCTAAGAGGGCTATAGAGGTGCATTGAACCTTTAGCTATACCCTTTTGGCTCTCACCTCAGTTCAACGTCGAACGTGTGGGTCCACTGGGTGTTGAGACTCAGCTCAAGTGTGACTTGATGCTTTCACAGAAAAGAGCTCTTGAGGTCTAACACCAGTTACAGTCAATATGCACTTATACAGGAGCCAAGCATGCATCAGTTATTTATTTTATTTTTCCCAGGTCAGTTTTACATGTTGTGGAAGCATAGGGTGTGGGTGGTTTGTGGTTTGTGTTTTGTTTTGTTTTTTTTTCCCCCTCCCCGATCATTCCAAGCTTCATACATAAAATATGATTTCAGACATTAGTCATTTGCACAAAAGTCTTGAATAAATTCTGGGTGAATAGCTTAGTGTTCAAGCAAAACTTGCCTTTCAGTTCAACAAAAAATGGCCTTTAATCTAATTTATATTGCATTATGTGGCTGACTCTGATAATGTCTAGCTGGCTTGGCAGGACTTTTCTATTGAAATGTAATGTTCTAACTGACAGTGTAAGTTGTAACCAACCAGCTATGGACATCAACACACCGTGCAGAATTCCCATGCCCTTGGTCGCCCCCTTGAAGGGAAGTTTCATACTAGAGCTGTTTGATTACAAAGTGTTGATGGATTTGTCAAATGCTCTGAATAACCTGTTCTTCTCTCAGAAGACCACTTGGCTGACAGCTGTTCACATGGAGATTTGTATAGCCAGCCAGCATGTTTAAGATGGCAAAAATAAGTGCAATATATAATTGATATTTTGCAAAGCACGATGTGCGTTACAATAATTTAGTTTTGAGGTTTCAGTAGTAACACACAATGCACCAGTACTGCTGCTTTTTAAAAATATGAAAGTTATTCTGCATTTAACTGAACCTAGATAAGCATGACTGACTATGCTTTCTTTAAAGATACATGGAGCTCAGCATTTGAGCCTAAAACTCAGGTCTGTTCTCTAATGTTATGCAGTGCAGCATTACATCCCTTGGCATCAGATTTTCATGATTCACAATTGTGTCCTTTGTTTTTGTCCAGTGTTTTCTCACTGCAGTACCCAGCATGCATTACACATCATACAACCATTGGGAATCCCACACAGCAGTAATGAAACATTGACAGCTAGTGTAGTCATGGACATAGAGACGACTGAATACATTTCTAGCAGTTAATATTGGCTATCTGGCTTCCTTCTGTTTTAGCCCACACTTCACACAGCTTGCTCTTGGGTATCAGCCACAAAGCCCCAGTGTTTCAGAAGTTCCCTCTGCCTTAAAGATATCAGAAAGGGAGTTTTCCTAAACCTTACCCTGGAAAATTTCACTATAGAGACTACTGTGGCACCACTGTAGGAGGAGAGTAGGCATGTTAACAGCAGACATGGTGATGGCTGGAGTGCCTTGTTTAAAGAATGTGAAATCATAACGCTTCTGTACTGTGATGTATTCCAGAGTAAAACATTGTATCAGTCAGGGTCTCTAAACTAGCTGTGTTTCCAGTTGATGGAAGGGGGAGTGGACTAATACTTGAAGGCATTTTGACTTATGAGAATATTTAATTTTTCTGAGATTTGGTAAGCTGGAAAGATCAGAATGCATCAGTAGTGCCATGTTTGGAAAAAGAACCAAACTATGAATACAACTGTTCCACATACTGGGCTGCACTAAGTATAATAAGCTAGGCTGATATGCTCTTTGTAATGAAACATGCAGTTAATCAATGGGCCTCATTCACCAGTGTGTTTTTCCTTAATTTTGTTCTTGAGGAAGGTCCCAAGAAAAACTCTACATCAGATTCATGTTCTTAAACTCGACAATTGTTCATACCTTTTGTGCTCTCGAGTATGTGTAGATTGTTTCTACCTAAGAACAAATCCCAATAAGAAACACAATCTTTGTGGAAAGTTTTAAGGAGTTTTGGTGAATGAGGCCCAATGTTTAAGTACTGATATTCACAATGTGTGCAGAAAAAGCATATTATGAAGTAATTTATCGCAATGATGTCATTACCCATGCCTAGTTAATATTATGATGAAAGATTATAGGAAAATAATTAAGTGATTAATTGTGCTGACGCATGATCTAACAAGACTTCAGAAGGACTTAAAGTACTGATGATATCCATGATACGCTCAGAAAAGTATATGGTGATATAGTCTGTAATAAGTCTTATTGCCTGCCCCAGGTGTACATATGAATATATGGCACATTATAATCCCATAGTGTGACATTTTAATTAAACTGGTAGCTGTTGGGAGACAGATTAATTGGTTACCTAATGATTTTTATTTATTTATTTTTTTTCTTCTTAGATGCGTTGGTATCCACCTACTTCTGAGTCATCCCAGCCTGGATGGAAATCGAGGCAGTTCTGTTAAATATAGTGTATGTCCACTACCCTGTTATTGAACTACTCTTACTGTATTTTGAAGAAATAATTAACCTTTCTTGCTTTTTTCCACAGATATGAAAGATGCTGTTCACTTCAAACTGACTGAACCCATTGTTGCCCATACTTAATCTGGTCCAGCTCATTTTGGAGTTTGCAGTGTGGGTCTATCTGCTCTTTTTGGAATTCATTTAAGGCTGATGCTGAACTGAACAGGGCTGAATACATCTTGCCAACTATGTGCTAAACTGGCTCAGATGGTACAGCCATAGTAGCACTTGCATTATTAGAGTTCCTTCATGGAATATTTTTGGAATGAGAAATTAATAGCAAAGGTTGAAATTGTGAGGCTGCTTCTTTTCATTCAGATTTTGCTCTGAGTTTACAGGGTCTGAGCCAATCAGCTGACACATCAAGCATGTTATATATATTTTGGCATGAACTAGATAAGTAATAGATTCTGTGCACCCTTGTAATGTGTTCCTCCTTGACTGGGTGTAATAATCCTTCATTATTTGTGTTTGGTAGCTTGGTCTTTTGTGTTAGATGTGAAGTAGTGGCTGACATTGTTTTGAGGCATTAGGTGACTGACACCTTGTGCAAGCTTTCTTTTTTCTTTTTCTTTTTTTTTCTTTCTTTTTTTTCCCTTCCCCGTTCGTCGCGCCCTCCCAAGTCAACGTCTGAAGCATGAGCTATGGTTTAAATGTGCCATCTTGGTTAAGTGTGTAAATGTGTTCCTGTGCGACAGCTTGGCCTTGCCAATGCACAAGACAATCAATGTAGTAAAAAGTAGGCCATATGGGGAGACATGTATTTGTGCAATTAAATAAATAATCTGTATAAGTTATTAACTTTGATATTTACTGATTTTGATTCCGCATCCTGTATTGCAGATGAACTGGTGTCTTTTGTTAGTTTTGTGTCAGACTGACGCAAGTCTAACACATTGTGAATGGCAGAATTGACTGTTAACATCAGCAATCTAATAAGGTTATAAGCTGAATGTGCTAAAAACAATGCATGAAGGGGTCTTAATGTGGATTATAGTAATGGTTAATACTGACATTAGAAATTTATTTGTAAAGTGTTTGATGTAAAAGCTATTGTATGATACAGTATTAAAACGTTAATGCATTACATTTTGTCTGGCTTATCCTTTTTTTTTTTTAGGCCCTGTATAATGGAAAATCACATTCTTTTTGTAAAAAAAAAGTTGTACATAAACTGTTAGATATAAAACATATTATTTGCTCCCCAGTCTATATAGAAACTGCAAAACAACCTATTTTGAATTCATCTTTTGTGACGTCACAAAAATGAACATTAACACACATCCACCTATTCAGCCTACAGCAGTTAACTCCACCCAAAAACACTGAAGTTGAGTGCCGTGTCTCAAAGCTAAGGATGCAGCTGAGGAACGCTGCATTTCTTTGCTGTTAAGTTACTGATTGCTGTTCTGTTTTGTAGGGTCCCTCAAATTTGGCCAAGAAATGTAACAATGTGCAGCACAAAACAGTTGTGAAATAAAAAGAACAATGGAATCAGTCATGAGTGGCTGGATATTGCAGCACCAGTTTGCAATGAAATGTCAAAGTACATTTTAATTGAGTATTTTAAAATGTGTTGCTTACAGTAAGCTGTGGTCAGGCCTTCTCAATTGTGCGAGTGTGCAGTGAAGAGGAGTGCTAGAAACATATCTCCTATCTTCTCTGCAGCCTTTGAGATACTGCTAGAGTGCCTCAGTAGTGTACTGCTATTTAAACAAGGCACAATACACGGTATCCAGTCAGGACAGCTAATTTGCGTATATCCCTTTTAGCTGGCACAGTAACTAAAACAGCCTGTTTAATTACAAGGGATAAAGAGAGGGGTTGGAAAATGTCATGCCAAAACAATTTTAAAAAAGCACACAAACACATACACTCACTCAGCACTTTATTAGGAACACCATATATCTACACGTTGCCCATTTCATCAGCTCCACTTACTGTATATGAGCACTTTGTAGTTCTACAATTACAGACTGTAGTCCATCTGTTTCTCAGCATACTTTGTTAGCCCCCTTTCACCCTGTTTTTCAATAGTCAGGATAGTCATATATATATATATATATATATATATATATATATATATATATACACACATACAGATTGATAGACAATGATAGATATTGATACATTGTTTTGAATACCCCTCAATATAAACTTAAATGTGACATTTTTCTGCAAAGTTCACTGCACAATTTCCCCAATATGTTTGCTCAGAAGAGCAACAAAACATGTAAATTTGACCAGGGATGGCCAAAGTTTTGCATATGTGTATATATACAAGGCAATACAAGGCAGCCAATCAGAAAATAGGTCATTTACATATAACACTCTGGGTAACAGTATAAGGCTCAGTAACAAGAACAGCCCTTTCTAAGCAATAGAGTTTAGAAAATGGTCATGTAAAAATGAATTGCGATGTGTCTGATACATAAACCTACAGCACATGAGTGGACCTGGGTGTGTTTTTGTGGGTCAGCTTTTCCCAGCTTCAGTCCTGTGGTCCACCTGCACTGCCCAGTTTCATGTTTCTACTGTATCACACCTGATTCTGCTCAAGAAAGACTTTATCATTAATGCCATTTGTCATTTATCAGTCACGATGTGGCTGCAGGTCGGTCTCTTGGACTGGAGTTGTGAAAATACAGAGGAATCCAGCACAGTTCAGTAATTTTCTGCTCCAACACAGCAGACTCAACTCATCAGGGTTTAGTAAGTTTGAAAGAGCAGGGAAATCACCAAACTGGACTCTCCACCAGTACGGCAGTTGGGTTTCTCTGATCCAGAGAAACTGAAAGAGAATGCCCTCTAGTGTATGTGGAGGGCAAATACGCGCTCTGGAGACAGAGTGAAATACTGATGGATTATGGTAGTAGCCATAATTAATGTACATTTAAAATGCAACATCACACATACATCACACATTTCCCACTGAGAGAACAGTCATGAATGCTAGTGCTCTAGAGAGGACAGAACAACACCCGTGAAACACCTTGATTTTTTATAGATTCAATAAAGATTTAAGAAGACAAACAAATAAATAAAAAAATAAAATAAAATGCACACATTTAAAAGCTTGCACACTCTGCTGTTCTCAACAACGGCAAACAGATTGATGAAGTGTGTTGAACAGGTAATTACACACTACAGACTTGTTTTTTGATTAATAATAATAATAATAATAATAATAATGAAACAAATTACAAAATATTCGAGACAAACGCTTATCTTTAGTTACCTTGTCATATACGAGTGAAGCAAGGGCAACCTTGACTACACATTAAGATTTTTTAAAAGGGATATGATAATGCATATATATATATATCAAGCTTTATTGGCCGGGTATGCTTACACATAGAAGAAATTTGGTTTTGGTTACAGGTGTTCACAGTGCACAGTATCAGACAAACATTTACATGTAGTAAATAAAATAAAATAAAATAACAAAATAAAAGAAAATAAACCCTTTCTTTGCCACTATACACCCTTTAATTGCTGCTGCACTTTAACGTAAGACACATACTTTGAACATTGTAAGGTTTACAGGTATGACTGTGTGTGTATGTGAGTGTGTGTGTGTGTGTGTGTGTGTGTGTGTATGTGTGTGTGAGTGAGTGATGGTAGGAATGCATGTTTTATTTTATTTTATTTACTACATGTAAATGTTTGTCTGATACTGTGCACTGTGAGCTCCTGTAACCAAAACCAAATTCCTTGTATGTGTAAGCATACCCGGCCAATAAAGCTTGATTCTGACTCTGATTCTAAAATCACTCATTGTTGGAAATGTCATCAACCTCATTCATGTCCTACAACTACATTTAGTATAATAAGAAACTATGGTAGTTTTTACATTTCTTATGAACATCATTCATACTTGTGTGCATCTAATTCGGATTTTCTATTTTTTTTAAACAAAACACTACATTTCATATAATTTAATATTGTAAAAAGGTGGTATTCACTATTTAGCCATATGATTTGAGCAATTTGAACATTTCCTTCAGATTTGTTTACCAGGCAACCTCAGAAAACATCACGCTGCAAAGGAAACGTGAAAGTTCAACGTTGGACATTAAAGGGTTAATGCACGCCCGCAACGCGCGGCGCTCCATGTGCACCTTATTCTTGACAAATTGGCGGAGGCCTCTGATTGGTCAGTCCGCTGAGGCGCTGAGCAGATGTTCTCAATGAGAGCTAATTCTCTGTCAGAGGGCTTAAGTACATGTTCGCCGAGGGGAGTTCAGTGGTGTTTTAGATCATTCTGTTTCATTATTCTACCATGGCGTTTTCTCTGGTGAGTATTTTCGGTGGAAAGTGTGCCCGTTGGCGTGTGCGCGCCTTCGCCCACGAAGGGAAACTCAGGAGGAAAGCTTCTGTTCAGGAACTTTGTTTGTGCTAGACGCCATGTTAAAGGCTAATACAGGTTTAGCTCGGTGTTATCGTTAATGCCACGCTTAGGTATCACATACACTGGCGAGAGTTACCAAAGATGGGCCTACTCGCCGTTTTGTGGTGTATTAGCAATGTAAGGCCTCGACGACCATGTCAATTTGAGCCCTCACCATACGCTCCTGTGTTCTTTTAGAGAGACAATCCTAGAGCCCTTAATCGTTGGGACTCAGACACTCCTGCCCTGTCTACATGCAGCAATGCAGACATCTTCCGCAGAATGAACACCATGCTGGGCAACTCTCTGGACCTCACTGGGGTCTGTACCACTCCAAGCGGCAAGACCAAGCGGGACTCACTGATGGGTAACTTTTCCAACCTTTGGCTAAGTGACTGTCATGATATGATACAGAACAGAGTCATAAAAATCTTTCTATGAAGCTGTTTGTGTCATGAGGGCAAAGAATGGGGGAAAAATACACACTTAAAGATTTAAGGCAAGTTGCTTTAAAGGCAGTGGCTCAATTTTGGACCATGAATTCTGTGTAGAACCATTTAATGCACAAATGGTTCTTCAGATTGATGAAGAATGTGTTGCATATGGTTCTATATTGAGTCTTTTTAAATATGGTTCTATGTAGCACCACACCTACTTTGGTGCTCTATAGAACCACTTTCAAAAAGGCTGTATATAGAACCATGTGCAACACATTCTTTATCAATCTGAAGAACCGTTTGAGCATGAAGTTGTTCTAAATAGTACCGCTGCTTTTACTGAAGAACCTTTGAACCATCTTTCTAGGTGTGTGCCTTTGTTGTCAGGTGTTCTACTTGGGTGACTGAAACTGCACTGCAAAACAATTCAATTCAGTTGGCAAGTGAAACATTTCAGGCCAGATGAAGTATTCTGTTTCTGCTTGTGTGATATTATAAAAATCCCAAGGTATTCAGTTTCTTTTGTACGTGTATCTGTTGAAAGTTTCCAGTGAAAGTTAACAAGCTGAATTGTCTGCCAATTGAATTAAACGTTCACTAGATAAAATTACTTTGAACAAGTGTAGCTTTAAATTGACTAATAATATTTTTAAAGCAGACTAATAATGAGAGATTGAGTAGACCTCTTCTGTTTTCACTTGCCAGTATTTAACTCTTTGCAGTGCAGTCTTAGGTTGCATGATCTGTAGTTTTGGACCAAAAGTGTCCCTGCTGCAAGGTGAGCCTAAAGCCCCAGGTGATGCTAGCGTAATCTGCTTTGCCAAGATTTGATTTGATGTTTAGTATTGTTGATTTATTTATTCTAAAGCCTTCTAATTATCTACATGTTTGGGTGTAGAAATGTTTTGTTTCAGAACAAAGCCTGAGATGTATTGGTATGCTGTTTTAAATGTGATATTATTATTATTTTTATTTTTTTTTATTTATTTTTTTTTAAATGTACACCCTCACAAATCAGCCATGTTTAGGTGCTTTAAAGGGAATTCTGCTGTTTTTTTCTTAAATGAAATGGTTATGATGCAAGTCATGCAGATGTTTGATATGAAATGCTCAGTTTTAGTTCAATTCAGTTGTTCAGTGGTGATTGGAACCAGACTCCTGAAGCATTTAATCCTCTAAAAGCTAATTCTCACTTATTACATAATGCTTTGAATATACTGACCTATGTCTGAGATTGTTTTTACAATAGTTTTGAAGCTTTGTCAGTTTATCCATTTATAGCAGAGGGGTGCAGGCAGATTGTAAGGCTGAACAGTCCCCCAAAGAAAACACACTTTTAGATGTACTGCTATTTTATCACTACCAACATTAGCACATAAAAACTGGGACATGTAGGTTAACTGGTTTTGCATAGTAAATAAAATAGTTCTGATCACCTTGGTAAAGAAATCAGAGCCTGTTTCTCTTAAAGATTGTTTCACATCAAACAACTCTGAATGACTGTACATCAGTCATTGAATTAATCTGAAATTTGAGTTGATCTAATCTTTCACCCCACATGCTGTAATGCTGCTTGCGTAGTCAATTTCCTCCTGCGGTCAGGCTTCTTGCACGAGTGCTACATCAGACATGCAGTGTCATGCAGCCGATACGTGGCAAAAGGGTGCTGAATCAGGCCTGGATCAAGCAGCTGGATGATGTCCAGTTTGGAGGAGCAGTGCAGATTGCCCATCCTTTTTTTTTCTCAGATCAGGCAACCTCTGCCTGCTGCCGTCTTGTGATTCGCCAGGCTTTTCTCCCCTCTTTCCTTCAGCCTGCAGCTCTCTCCTCGCTCCCTCTGCTGCCTCAATCAAGGACAACAGCCAGAGCTCAGCGGCCTTGAGGGGAGAAGGCTACTCTGCTTGTTTGCCTGCGGGAGAATTTGACAGGAATTCATTGGTGTGGCAGCAAAGCAGGGGCCGGGGGCTGATGTCATTAGCAGGGGGGTGCGAGGGCATCAGCGCCTGGGTCACATGCAGGGTGGGTCGCCTCTGCAGAGGGAATTGCATGGCATCTGCAGCAGCTTCACACAGTTTAAGCTCGCCAGCTTGCAGATTTATTCTCTGACAGAGCTTGAAGGGAATCAGTGTTTCAGCCAAAGACTAGAGGCTGCTTTTTAGCAGAGTCTTTCATAATACCCCTGTGGCTGATGCTGAGTTTACAGGTACTTTTGTTTATTTCTGGACTATTTTGACAGACCGTCCGGATTCGGATCTGTCTGTGGTCCGGAGCAGGATGCTTTTTCCCAGCAACAGCCAGGACTCATCGCGGGGTCTGCCTGATGTCAATGAGCTGGGCCTGGGCCTGCAGTCCCTCAGCTTGTCCGGTTGGGAGAGGCCATGGAGCAGTCAGGACTCGGAGCAGGCAGCCCCAAATAACAATATCTCCAGTGAGTATTCATAAATATCTTGCATTTTCCTTGGGCATATAGAGCTTTTCATGTGTACAGGAAATGTTGGGTGCTTGTGGCTTGGGTTCTTTTCCACCTTCCCAAGTCTCTAAAGCTTATTCTTCTCTAATGTTTAATTGCTTCGCTAATGTTTTCTTTGTTAGACGTTTAATCAGATGACTGGCTTGTTTTTGATATTTAGTTTGGTATCTTGACTCTTACTCCTGTGTAATACACTGATCTGACTTGATGACTAAATGCTTTCACAGTAAGCAGCAGTTCAAAACAGGACTTCCCGGTGAGTCAGAGCTTAGTGTAGCTGCTGTGTCATAGATTCCCTGCTTACCTCATGCCTTGCCTATTTATTAGTGCTAAAGTGTTTTAGTAAGGAGTGTTCGCTGTTTCAGAGGTAAGTTCTTAAACAAGCCATCTTTACCACTAGTCCATTCCTAGAATGCTTCAAGAATTTTAGGGCTGTAACTGATGGTACCACTAATTTACTCCAAGGTCCAGTTGACAATGATCAGTATTTACTTTCAAAGATTGTTTGCTCTTGATTTTGTTTCCTTGTTCTCTAGTGCTGGGGATGCTGGGAAGCCCTCTGGGCCATCTTCTGAACAAGCCTCAGGGCTTTAACTCAAACGAATCCAATGCTGGGCCTTCGGATTTCCTGGAGAAATTTCCAGCCTTGGCGCGCCTGAATTCCCGCTCTTTGCTGGGCTCCCACTCCAGCAGCCCTGTGGATTCGGAGACCAGTGGCTTCAGCTCTGGCTCTGATCACCTTTCTGACCTGCTGGTGAGTTTTTGACTGAAATGAAAAACCTTGGTCAATACTGATTCAGGACATGCTGGACAGAAAACTGAACATTGACAGTTTTTACAGAAATGTATGGTATGTGGGCTACAGAATGTGCCATGAAATCAAGTTTGACAAATGGCCATCTGGTCACCAAAGGCAATTTCTGTAGTATAACATCTCTAGTTATACTGTGCACTTTGGCACTGTTGTTGGTGCTGCCCCAAAAAAGGCAACAGAAGGTGTCCATGTGCTATTGGGGACTTTCCTTTCTTCTTCTGTTTTGCTGTGATATCAATTGGGATTTTTTGATGTGATGCCAAACCTGTAGGAGTCATTTGGTAAAGTAACCCTTCCTGCTAAGTGCTATAAAGTCACATGTTTGTCCCTTGTAGAAACTGATGGTTCAATGTGTATTTACCCCACCCCCCCATTTGTGACCATTAAAATTATTTGTAATGTTTATTTTGGCACTTTGTAGGCCTATTTCTTTTCTCTTCCTGGTCAGTATTGTTTTTGGCCTTAAAGTGCCATTGTTGGCCAAAAATTCAGTGGCTGAAATTCAGACTGTTTTGTTTTTTTTTGACCTGAATATTGTGGGCAAGAGGTAAGCATATGCTCTTGGTTGAGTTCCCAAATTTGTGTTAATTGAATTGCCATCCTTTTTACACCTAACATTGTATTAATCTATAATCTTGTTTTCCTCTGTGCAGTCCTCTCTGAGGATCTCCCCCTCAGTGCCCTTCCTAATGTCCAATGTGCAGAAGGACCCTCTGAAGCTCAGCCTGGGTTCCCGCATAGATCACGACAGTTCTCCCCTGACCCCTCCACCCAGTTCCACACCAGATGGCAGCAGCCTGTCCCGCCGTTGGCCTGGAGCATCCGTGTGGCCCAACTGGGACCTGCTGGAGACCCCAGATGGACCCTTCAGCATTGAGAGGGAGGCTCGTCTCCACAGACAGGCTGCATGTATGTTCTGCTATTAAGCTACTCTAGACTTATCCTATTAAGAACCGGGGGCAGTATCCGTTTTCATGTTATGACCTTTGTAAATGTCTTTGGTATGCTTCTAGAGTGTTTTCATCTAGTGCTTGTGTCTTGGAGATACTAAATACCTTGTTTTTAATGGAAGTGCTACTGATCTCTTCAAATAACAGCCATTAATGAAGCTACTTTCACTTGGAGTGGACAGCTTCCTTCCAGAAACTACAAAAATCCAGTGTACTCCTGTAAGGTCTTTCTCGGAGGAGTTCCATGGGACATTACTGAGGGTGGGTGGCTCTCCTTATTCATATAAAGCTTATTGTGTTTAAGTCTTTGTGGTTTTCTTGGCTTGTTCTTGAGTGCTTTACTTATTTCCCTCAGCTGGCCTGATAAACACATTTAACTGTTATGGCCCCCTGAGTGTGGAGTGGCCTGGTAAGGATGGCAAGCATCCTCGCTGCCCTCCTAAAGGTAATATGCCCAAAGGTAATGCAGTGGGTAGGTCTAAGTTTATTCCAGCTCTTTCAAGGTGGCTTGCACCAGAGGTTGGGTGAGAGGCACTGGGTGTTGGGTAACTGTACTGGAGCACATCACACATGAAATTAGGTTGTGGCAATCTCTGTGGGATTTAGCAAAATCTTAGAGTAACAGGCATTCTTGTGTGCATGTTGAAAAACTTAGTGTGTCCAACATACACATTTTAAGACATGGCAGAAACCTCAGTTACTAGTCCAGAGACATAATCATGACATTAGCATGTACAGCTAAAGTAAACCAGGTTTGCTAGTGCTTTGGCTAAAGCTTGTTTCTTGTAGGGTATGTGTACTTGGTGTTTGAATCGGAGAAATCTGTGCGTGGGCTGCTGCAAGCCTGCACCCAAGATCTGCTCCATCCTGAGGGTTACAGCGAGTACTACTTCAAAATGTCCAGCAGGAGGATGCGCTGTAAGGATGTAAGTATGGGTCCAGCAAATCACACTTCATCTGAATTTTACAACCTGTTAATTTAATATAGAACTGCTTAGCTTTAATGTTGGTGCATTTGGCTTCTAGCAGTAAGCATGTGCCATGATATTAAACTCCTGAATCTCCCTGCACTTTGTAAAATCCGTGTTATACTGGGAAGCTCTGAGCTTTATGTATGAAAAGTGCAACACTTTTACTTTCTTTCCTGCAGGTGCAAGTGATCCCCTGGGTGATCTCAGACAGTAACTATGTGCGCTGCCCCTCTCAAAGGTTGGATCCCAGTAATACTGTGTTTGTGGGAGCTCTGCATGGCATGCTAAATGCTGAGGCTCTGGCCAGCATCATGAATGACCTGTTTGGGGGAGTCATGTATGCAGGGATTGATACAGACAAGCACAAGTACCCAATTGGTGAGGTTACCTTTTAACTCGTTTACTTCTGTAACACTTTTGCTTGGTCTAATAGCACCAATTGCAGTGGAAATGACTTTTGTTCAAACTGAGCTGCTCTTTTTGCCAGGGTCTGGTCGTGTAACCTTTAACAACCAGCGCAGTTACCTGAAAGCTGTAAGTGCTGCGTTTGTTGAAATCAAGACCCCCAAATTTACAAAGAAGGTATGTTTCTACCCCAATGTAAAAACATTGAAGTTCAGTAGTGAGTAGTGAGCAACAGTTGCTCATCCACACTGAGTATGCATACATGAAATAGTTTATGCAACCTCTATAAATTTCTCTTGCATAAGTTTGAGCAATTTCAACTTGTACTTTAATTGGGCAACCAAAATCCTGCAGCTCTGGTATTACATACAGGTAATGGATGTTAAGTGCCATAGAGCAGTAGTTTTCAGTCCTGGTCCTGGAACACTGCTACATTGCATGTTTTTAGTTTCCCTTTCCCTAAATACACCTGGTTGAAGTAATGAGCTGATAAATTCCTGATGTGGACCAGATGTGTTGGAGACATTTTTCTAAAGGGCTGTGCCCTTTGGAATCTTATGGGAGGTGAAGTCTGCTTATGAAAATCTCTTTCCATTAGTTTAGTGGTCTGTATGAACCACAGGACAGTTTAACCTGATTGCTCTGGTGACCAGTTAAAGGCTCTGTTCACCCCCAGGTTCAGATTGACCCATATCTGGAGGATTCCATGTGCCAGGTGTGCAGCCGCCAGCCTGGACCCTTCTTCTGCAGAGACCAGGTGAGTTTCTGAAATTAAAGAATGTCTTAATGCAGGTATCAAGTGGGGTGAGGGTAACTAGTTATCCCTTTTGGTTTTATAACTTTAGAGTACATTTATTCTTTGGTCCACTGCTCCAAAGTTTCAAAACCTGGGTTTTGCATGTGACTTCAATGAATGGTATCAGGAACAGTTGTTTTTTTTGTGTGTTTTATATATAATCTCATTGAATTGACAGCTTGGTTTAAAGTGAAATGCATTCGAAAGGTTCCTAATGCTAGTCCCATTGAATTACTCTCTCAAGCAACTTCCCCAGATATGGACATGCGCGAGTTCAGGCTTAAAGCTTTAATAGTGCTGCAATTTATACACAAGCAAGACTCATGTAATCAGTATTATTAAAATGCAGAAGCAGCAGGGGTGCAAATTAGTGCAAAATGTTTTGAACATTTTTGGAAACTCTGCTAGTTCCAAAAAGAGACATGCAGTTGTCTCGCTCACTTCTCCAAACATGCATTGAGTTTAGTTCTAATGCTCTTTATCCACTTCTAACAATTTGATACATTTAAAAACTCATAATGGAAAAAAATCTGAAGGTGGTATTTATTGTAATACAGAACTTAATGTTTCTTGTATGTGTAAAGCACATTCCCAGCATTTGTGTATATAATGTAGAGAATTTTCAATAATATAATGCATTTTGCAACTAAACACCTCAGTTAAAGGTGGGTAAACACTAGGTTTATGGGTGTTCAGCTTTTGGTCCTTGAGGATCTTAAGCAAATGTTGGAATTTCCAAATGTTTCAGAAATTTGAAGCATATTTCCAAAAAGTTGTTTTAAAAAATGCATCTCAGTATTTCAACCAACTGTGCACAATTTCCTGGAGATAATGTCACATGCTTACGTTCATGAGACCAGAGACTCCCTGTTCATTACGCATTCAAACTAAGCCTTTTGTTTAGAGCAGTTTTGACAGCTGTCAGCTGTACATGGCAGTAGAACAAACAGTGCAGAGATGCCAGGTGGTGTGGGTAGCAGCCTATTTAATGAGGGCTAAAGTTTTTGTCCCTCTTTGCCATTGCCCGCTTGTCCCTGGGAATGTCAGTTCAGACAGCTTTATCTTCTGTAATGTCATTAGAAGTAGTGGAAACCTGTGACTTACCTTCCTGCTGCATCACCAAGTCTATTTCAGTTACCATTGTTTGCATTCCATTTATTGATTAAGGCCAATTCATTCATGCATAAACTGATTTAAGCAGTTTTTGAATTTCAGGAATTTCTGTCTAGGTTTGTGCACTTTCAAAATTTACATGAGCTGGATATAAAGCCCTTCAATAAAAGCTGAAATCTCCCAATTTAAGTCAGTAGTAGCCCAAGCCTCTCCAGGTTTGGAATGGACACCTTTTCAGTAGTTTGAACTACTAACCAATTTGGTGACCACATTCAATGTAAATATCCCAGATTCATTAACATCTAGCATTTGAGTGCCTTTGTTGATGGACTCTACAGTGAACTCTCCTTTGTACTCAGATTATTGACCATTTTATCTGCTGTCTTTTTATATCCAGGCCTGCTTCAAGTATTACTGTCGCTCTTGCTGGCATTGGCAACACTCCATGGATATCTTGAGCAACCACCGCCCTCTGATGCGCAACCAGAAGAACCGGGACTCCAGCTAAAAGGCCTCCACCTGCACGGCAGCACCGTGCTTCAGCCTGGACCTCCACCATGCCTCCCAGGGCACAGCTCCAGTGCCAGCCCTGAAGAGGGCACTCACAGGAGTATGGGTTTGCGGAGACACTGTAGAAAGTTCACTTTCGCACTTGATTTGGCTTGTTCACGTTGGCACTTTGCACAGTGAAATGATGGGTTTGCAGGGGCCCACACATTTGAAAGTCCCCCTTGACTTTTTTGGGGGGTGAGAAGAAGGCCATGGTTTAGAAGACTTTTTTTTTTTCTTATGGATTTTTTTTTTTCCCCCTTGTGTTGCAGTTTTTGAACAGTCATGCAGGTTTCATCTTTAACTGACCGAAGCCATACAGTGCCTTTGAATTGGTTTCCTCTCCTCTAGCTGCTTTTTCCCCATTGCAGTTAGCTGGAGTTTTTTACTTTAGAAACACAGCTACATAATGAAGCCATTTTCATCTTCCAGACATTTTACGCAGTTATTTTTACTAATTTTTACATAAAACGGTTTTAAGTCCATGACATGGAAAAAGTTGAACAGAGATCTACCTACTGGCTTTTTAATTTTCCTCCATTTTTTTTCCTCCACAGTTTTTCTGGAGAGTTTCTCCCTTGTTCAGCTTTGTTCAGTGGAGCAAGGGGTTTGCGCAGAAAGTTGCTACTACAGCCCAGATCATTTTTAGTGCATGCCACCGGAAGGCATTGCTTTTACTGGGTTGCATCAAGTTTTCAGATCAGCTTGACTCGTTAATCAGAAAAGAAAATGGCCATAGATTGCACATAGTTTTATTGTTGCACTTTTTAATTTGCACTTTGGAAAGGGGTAGGTTTTTAATCACTTCTTTTGGACATCAGCAGGTATCGCTATGGGCATGACCCCCAGAGTACCAACAGCTGCTTGTTGAATGTAAAACTCTAAACTTCACATGAATGTACCTTAGGAGCCTTAGTAGATCAAATGCAGATGTCACTTTATTTCAAACTCGCAGACTGTCAACAGCTCATGGATCTGGGAAGGTCTTTGCAACCAGGACTGTCATTTCTCCATTTACTCCATGCTGAGTCACAAGCCCAAAAGCTTCTTATTCTACCTCATTGTGGTCTGCTGAGTTTGTGTACTTACAGATGTGAAGTTCAGATTTTTGATTGTGCACAATAAAGGTGTTCAAGCATTCATATTGCTGTGTGTGTTTTACATAGAAGATAATGGAGGTAGTGACCACCAGGACTTTGTGCAAATGTTCATTTTGTCCACTAGGTGGTGGTCTCTTCATACATCATTGCTGTAGTCACTGCTCTCCATTTAGCCATAATTTTATGGACTCCTGTTCTCAAGGTCAGGGTATGTTTGAGCATTAAATCCAGGTTAGGGGACTTCTGCACTACTTTTGTTTTGATGCTGTGCTTCAGCGGTGTTGGATGTTTTCAGGCATTGTTCCATCATGTGTGGAGACCAGTGTCTGCCCCACAACCCAAGTAACTAATTGGGTTGATCCTATCTTGCTGTTATCTTGGATGTGTGCCTATCTAGTTACTAGTAGTAGCTGAAATGCTTAAGTACACCTCTCTTCACTTACTGTAGTGTAGTGGTTTTTCATTTAGTGTCTAACATCCTTCAGTTTGAGCAGCAGCCATAGCAAAATCAGTTACTCATGATCTTTTTTTAAACTTCTATTCCACAATTGTAGCAAAGAATTTTTATATAAGCAATGGTATGATGTGACCAGTCAGTGGTGGTTAAGTATTATAAATAAATTTTTGCTTGCTGATAGTAGTTGATATCCTGGGAGATGGTAGTTTGCCCTCTTCTCACACCTTTTTAATGCAACAGTTTTAGAAGCCCCCCCCCCTTCACTGTGAATATAATTAATCAGCCAAGATAAGTTTAGGTTTGCTTCTTTTAGTTTGTACTGAAAGAAGCTGCAAGGCTAATGTAGTTAACACATAATGTAATTGGTCCCACCAATTAGCAACTGAGCAAAGTGCATGCCTAAATTACCTACATGCCCCAAAATCAGACTTCAATAAAATGAAGTACAGGCTTTAAGATGGCTGCTACTACCAATTCCCCCACTTTAAAATTTTTTAGTTCAGTTTTGATGTAAACATTCAGAAAGGTTTGTGAAATGATGCATTGTAAAGAAACTTAACTCGAGAGATCACGATGTCTACATATAGCAATTTTATTTACTATCCAAAATGACCAGTGAACCTACGTGTGCACATGTTTTGTATTGGGAATTGTAAAAGAGAGGAAAATATGTAAAGTTTTATTTGGGTTCTTGCTATAACACCTTGCATGTACCTAGTGTGTGTGAAATGCCCTCTGGTATACAGGGAGTCCTGTGTTGGCTGGCTGCGAAGTCACTCACCATAATGGCACTGATGCTAGTTTCAATGGTGACAATGTTTGGTTCAGCAATCCTTCTGGAAATGCTTCTTTTCTAATTCAGTAATAGTCTTTCACAAAGTGAGACCTTGTGCATCTACTCTTGTCTTTGGTTTAGAAATTGGTAACAATTCACTCTTTCCACCAAACTCTTGAAATTGGGCAAGTTTTTCAGATTTACAAATATGCTGTGGTGTCTTGTAAAGCTATTCAGAGGTATTCCAGGCATGGTTACGGTTGCTAGGCTATGAAAGAACAACTAGGTGAACCAATTTGCTACAGCGCCACAATGAGGCAGATCAGTGCTGCATCTCTAGTTAATACCAAAGACAGGAGCCTGGCCTCTAGAATTTTCATATTGAGATGTTCAGGGGATCAAAGAGGTTAATGAGCGGGGGGTCCTGGTTCCACCTGGATCCCCTGTATTTTGCACCTTGCATGTACCACCACTGTAGATGTATTTTAAAATGTTTTAGGTAAAAAGCCTTACATACAAATGTTTGTAAAACAATATCTCAGACACCTGATGGTGTTTTTGTGGCTAGTATCTGTATCTGTTTCCCATCACTACTCTGACAGTGTAATTATGAAATTTTGGAAAAAAAAACGAATTATCTTAAGGGCATGACGCAGTTTGACGTATGTATGTGATTAAACAGTGCAGTTTGCATGATTCTCATTACTTGTTAGCTGCATTAGCCTTGTTCCTTGAGTATAAAACGTCTGTTTAGGGGTAAAGGAAAATTGTGTACATTTGATCTTTGTGTCACAGCATTACTTTGTTGATCTTGGACATACAAGCCTATGAACCCAACCGGATATTAGAGCAGGGAAGCCACTAAACTACATGTCTTCTATTGTGCTTGTACTGAAAGCTGTTGATCTGTATGATTGTTGGCCTGTGTTTACAGGGGCATGGGTATAAATGTAGGCCCTATTGATCCATCTTCAGTTGTAGCCTCCAGACACAGGCTGTGCCCACATGGCCTGTGTGGGTGGACAATTCGGGGGGGTTGGGGGGTGTCTGAGAGGAAATGCCTGAAGCCTGAGATATTCTTGTTGTTTGAAGTGGGCTTGCCAATACTGGCTAAGATTAGTGCACCACCGGCTTTAACACTTCTTCCACATGTCAGAGAAATGTGTGTCACTTCCAGCCCTCCGGATCAGTGGTGGCCCATCACAGGAACAGCAGAGAGCTGACAGAAAGGCAGGTAGGGGGGTAAGCTATGTTGAAGTGGTACATAGAGAGGGTTTGAGTCACTGTGAATCACCCAGGACTCATCAGTGTGGAGGATGCTATGTGCGTCGAGGTTTATGTAAGCGCTTATCCTTCCTTTCTCATCCCTCTCTACACATCCCACCTTCATGTCTAGAATAGCAGTCACCCTACACACAGTCTGAGCGTCGTGCCCCAGTCCTCCCCACGCGGCTCCATCATACATGATGAACCCAGTGATGGAGCCAAATCCACTTTTAAACTGGATCCTGGCTCCAAGTGGAGCTCTGCGAAGATTGGGCTCCAGAACTGCTAGTTGGAGTGTCCTCGTCAGACTGGTTTCCAGTCCTGGTGCATTTGTACACAAATAATGTGTTGTTTTCACTGGTCTGACTGTCCTGACCTGAGATCAGCTCATTAACAAGCCCTTCTTGAGTTGAAGAGGGTGAAGACTGTCAGACCATCATTGTCTGTGAGCAATTGTCATAGTTTTTGTGGTGTGTCCCACATCATTGGCACTAGACGGCACCAGTTTCACCAGTTCTGCAAATGGAGCCCTATCCGATTTGGTGCAATTCTGGTCCTGTCGATCTCATTTGCACTTTTGACCGTGCAGGTCTTTTTTAAAAAAGAAAATGCTTTGTTTTCTTTTTTTGAGAGGTACAGTGATGTCTTGATAAATAAACTTGAATGATTTAATTGATTTTGAAATTGATGTTTAGTAACTTTTTCCAGTTTTAGTGAACACATTCTCATATACTACAACACAAGAGGATTTGTACACAAATCACAAAAATAAACATCACTACAGTGATTTGCTGGAAACAAATGCTTTGCAATGCATGCATCTGTCCCAAATGCTTGCCTTTAAACTTCCACTGCTGAGGTGTCTTGCCCTCTACTGCATGTTGTCAGTATCACCTAAGTTTGCACTTTGAGGAGGGCCTTTTGGTGGGACAGGCCCTGAGCTGAACTGGTATCAGAGACTGGCAATTCTCTAATCGGCTGTTCAAAGGAATAGTGCAGAATCTTAAACATTTCTTTTTCATTTTACCTGTCATAACTTTCTTTTTTTTTTTCCAGAACAAAAATGTTTGTTGTTTAGTTGCAGGTTTAAATGAAAAAAATCCCAGATTTGCAATGTCGTCTCAGACTTTTGGAGCCCTCTGTATATAAAGTGGACCCGAAAAAGGATTTGGGCACTTTAACCCTTTAATCACTGATAAACGTCGACAAAGTTCTTTAGGTTACTTCATAAAATGTTTAACAAAATGATATTTGTTTGAAAGATAAACACTTTTAGCACAACATCAAACTAATGGTAGACTCTTTGTTTGGAGAAAGCCTGGAGAAGAACTCCAGATTCTTCTGATGCTGCTTCCTGTCAT